TCCCAATATATCAAATACATAAAGTATATGCATATTTATATACAACGGCCTCACGTTAAGTGAAATATTCTCAGTCGTGAGAAACTCGTTACATTGAGCGCTTTTGGTACCCGTAAAAAAAATTCAGAGCAATCCATTGTCGAAAGTTATGGATTTCCCAACATTTTCAAGCCTTTTTTTTTTTAATTTTCAATATCATCATTTGATTTCCAAACCTTCTCAGCATAAAAGGCGTGTCTTCAACTATCTTCCCAACTCCATGGAAAGTGGTCGCGGTGCTGAATGTAGCAAATGCACTCTTCCACGTTGGCTCCTCTTCACTCTCCTCCTCTTTCGCTTTGAAGTCCGTGTCTATAACATTGACTCCGTAACTAAAATTGCCGTTCAAATTTTTCTTTACTTCAGGCAAGTTGTTAAGTTCCATTTTTCCGCTCCTGAAAAAAATCATATATGATTAATTTGGACCTGTTTTCCATACCCACAAATATATAAATCGCGGGGACCGATTAGCGGGCAATTTGTGTTTAAGTCTTGTTGATGCTTATGGAGTTGTTCCACAATCTACGCCTACAATTCTTATGAAAATATTAGCCCAGATTCTGTTTTACGGAGAATCTCAAAGGTACTTTACTCCAGTTTGGTCCCCAAAGCAAACTATGGTTGTCTTGACAATATATCATTAAATTATCCAAAATCCACATGTTATTGAATGTGGGTCAATCATTCGTAACGTCATCGGCTATCGTTTTCACCAGTCTGAGCCACGTGCATTTTGGAAAACAAGACCCAGTATATATTAACCAACGGATAAAACGAAAATGCAATTCTCCGCTTGTGAAACGAAAAACTTGCTGTCATTATTAACGTTATACTTACTTGATGACAGCTGGGTAGTTAAGATAACCACAAATGATGAATCACGCGACGTCTATTAAAATGGGAAATATGGTCTAGGGCCTATATCCTAGATTTATTATTGCAAATCTCTTAAAATCTAAATTACAACTAGATCAACGACAATGTAGTAGTTGCAATCATCTGTTGTTTAGATCATGCGAAGAGAAGCAAGATAAAATCAAAATCTACTTTCTATTCATACTCATGCTGCCATGCATGTTATGCCAATTGTATCAGATTTAATGTCTGGTTTCTTTATGTTTAGCACATTTCAATGGTGGCTGAACATAGCTCGGCCGGATGGGCTATGTTGCGGTTTTTGTCCTTTCTAACATATTTACTGGTATTACCCCCATCAGCAAAGGAAATATATATCGACATTTCTGCATTTCTGACAAATGGAACCAGATTTCGATTTTTTAATGGCCTCAGAGTCTTTATCAGACATACAAAGTTAAGCCATTGTAGCGTATTTGCACTAGTGCCAGAAGATGATACACTATGGCTGTTTGAGCTGCCAAGGCATTGGCCTTGTCTGAAACTTTCTTAAAACTTATTTACTAAAAAGACTAGCCCTAGTTGTGGTGGTACAAATGTTCGTACACACCTTCCATTAGAACCTGTCTATCCGCACTTAATAATACCCATTGTAGAATTATAGCCCTTTGATTGGTCAGTTGCAGTGTCCTATTCTGTCTAGCATGCTTGTGTTTTACTCTCATCTACAGACAGATAGATTGGCCTCATTTCTACGCCTCTGATTGGTCACTTACAAAGCCCTGTTCAAATGTTGTTTGGCATGTCAAAATTTACTTTCACTTGTTTGGAATCTTTTTAAAAATATTTTCAGATACTGGTATTGTAATTGTTAAAAGGTGTTAAATATTTTTCTTCTTTTTTTGTAGATTCGGATTGTTAAAAAGTACACCAGCAATCACATGTACTATCAATTAACTGGAGAATAACCAGCAAACCAAAAGTTTTATTTATTTCTTTTGTATCTTGGTTGCTAGCCGGTGTAAAAAAAGACATTTCATCATGAACTATGAAGTCTAGGTCCCAGTTAGGGGAAATAGCAATAAAACGAAATTAGATACATGTAAAACCGCTGCACTGCGTGCCAAAATCTGCGCCCAGGCAAATGTTATTTTAAAACTCATTTGTTAAATTTTAACATTCCATTGTGTGTCTTGTAATATTAGCACTAATATCTGTGACTGTGTCTAATCTTTCAATTACATAATCACATCCTCATTGTCTGTATGCTTATATATATAAATGATGTAGGCCTATAATGATAAATTGTTTGCTGTCGATCCCCCTATAGGCTACTTTCGTGTTATATTAAGACTTGTGCAAATTGAGCTAAACCATTTTCAGTCTCTGCTCAATGCATTCTTTCTTAAGAGCCGTGACTCGATATTTTGATTATCCTGGTTTATTCAGTTTTTACTGTTCAATATCTTTTATCAATTATTTATAGCCAAAGTGTCATGTCGTACAAATTCCCATTTCCTTATAGTCTGGTATATACTAACTATATTTTAGACATCTAAGTGTCTGCACCGTCTGTACCTTAACTGTTTGTGTCCATGACAGCTCTTATCGGCCATTTTGATCGGTCAGACCTTTGTCATATTTTTAGTCTTAATATCCTGTTCATTAGTAGGCCTAGGATGTTCTAAAAAAGCGACCTTGATTGGCCAAATGTCCAACTATCAATGTTTGTGCGTGTTTGTTTGCTTACTACGTATAGTTAGTGGAATGTTTGTTGTAATTTAAGATGGAGGAAACGTAAAGTACTTGATATCGATATTTCCTGTCACGATGGCGACCTATATGAATCACGACACGATGGCTAGGGTTGATCACTGTCTGTACCTTAGCTATCTGCCTGTACACACTACACACGTTGCAATGTCACTCTAATCCCATGGGTGAGCGTTGCGTTTCTTTCCTTTGATAAAACGTATTGCACTCAAGTTTCAGAATAACAGAACCATGCTTAGAACGGACAAATCAATCCGGAAAAAAAGTTTGCTTTGCTCCTTACAAGTAGACAATACAAACATAATTGTGCTTATATCAGCTGTTACTCTTAAGTTGGTCGATGTTCTAGATTTCCTTTACCGTCAAACATGCACATTATTTTTACAAATTGAGTTATCAGATAGGCGTACTGATGCGACACTTCTTTACTCCATTGGTGCGATATCGTCTAATGCAGGAGATTGCGTTTCATGGATCAAATTTTCAAAAAAAAAAATAAATAAATAAAAAATAAAAAAATAAAAATTAATAAGTTAAAAAAATTAAATAAATGTGTCAGCGAAAAAGAAACTGTAATTAATAAGAACCCATTCTGGTAATCCCCCGTTCTTTATTATTCCGCTATGCTATCTGACCAGATTGTGCTCATATAATCTTCTATCATCTTGTTTTTCATCTACGGGATAATTACATTATACTCTACCTTATTATTCCATTAGAATTGGCGTCAGTACCTGTGCCAAACTGAGAAACAATTGGTCCGTTCATGTCGTATTCCCCAGTTTACATTGACGATTCAGCTCACGTATGGTGTGTTTGGGCGTGTTGCAGCTAGTTTATGTAGTCGATATTTACCTTAATAGATGTGCATATTAATGAGATATGAATGAAGAATGAAATGAAGTGGATCCATACGAGTAGGAGCCTATTATCCCTATTGAAATTTGATCATTTAGTCGCTTTCTTGATTCCCGTACATCTTAAGATATAAGATTTTAATGTAAATATATGGTGACTGATATCTCATTTATGGGACGTGGAACTTCTAATACCGGGGTGGGGTGCTGGGGGGGGGGGGCGTGTATTTGGTATATCTTGTGTAATAAGTATAAATGACAAACAGCAAAAAAAAC